CTATTTCAAGGCGATTGAGCCAGCGCTGTCTGAAGACATTTCCACGTCATGTGGCCAGCATGACATCACAGAGCACTGTTATCTTCCCAGCAAAATGGTATCTATCTATCTACTCGCATTTGCATGCTTTCGAATTGCTAGGTGGGCAGAAGAGGGGCGAGGACGGGAGGTCATCCCATCGTGTGGCACTCGGGTCTCAAATCTGGGCTGCCAGCTTTCCAGTTGACAAGTCCAGTATCTTAAACACTGAGTCACCACACTGCCAATTTACTTACTTCCAAACTACCTTTTAACTATTTTTACTATTTGTAAAACGAATAGAAATGCCAGAGATATAACTGCTATATGTTCCATCTAATTATTTTATGAATTTATTTATAATTTTTTTTAACAAGCATTCTTCGACACACTATTTCTACCATCACTTCAGTACAAAATAAAGGTTATTTTTAACAAAAACATTAAAAGGTAGGGGTTTGCAAAATATTGCAAATTCTAATTGTGTGTAGTTCTAAAGCATGATGTCAAACTCAGCATGCCACGTTGCTGTTCCGCTACGTTTTTCCCATTCACGGAGCTGGGGTGGACATGGCCTATGTATGATGCATCCAGCCCGCGAGCCACCAGTTTGACACTTCTGTTCTAAAGACTATTATTTGAACTTGTTTTGAACAAGACTAGATAGTCTTATAAATCTGGATGTGTTCTCATTCTGAAATATCCCCACTCTGACCTCAAAACATATCTATTTCAAGATTAGAATATTTCTGAAATGGTTAGAATAACCCATTACAAACTTGAAACAACCAGACAGCCCTAATAAGCAGTTTTTTGGGTTCACAGTACATAAATATTAACATCTATTAATGTCTCAACTAGAGAAACCAACATCTGATTGGTAATCAATAATATGTTTTTTATTGTTTATACACAAGGTTTTGTTTCTGTATCCTTGTAAAAGAAAGAACAGTGAATATAAAATCTATTTTTTAAAATATTTTTTAGCTATTATTTTACAGGAATATAGTATAGGAAGCAAGCTTAAATACTGCTTAATAGAAATCTTTGTGAACTAATATTTTAAAATAAATTTGGAAATTTAGGCCAAAGCTACCTAATTTTTTTTTAAATGATACTATTTCCTTGTATTTGGGAAAATAAATTTAGTATTATTAATATTATAAATTATAATGAATAAATAACTTAAATGGATATTGAAAACTTACGTTACAAATTGTTACATATTCATATTACATTATTCAGTGCCAGTAACATGTCTCTATGTGCAATTGGTAGACTTGAAGTATTTTAGCAGAAGGTGAAACAGATACTTTCTATACTTTACTTAAGGATCTAAAGGATGCACCTAAATCTTAAGGATGGCTTTTGTTGTTTACATATTCTAAGAAAGCAGTTGTTTTTTGTTATCTGCATCTAGTTGATTTCTGCCCCATCTCTATTGGTTCACTTTGTAAATGAGAATGTAAAATGAACAGGGAGGAACAGAAAACAGTCAATGATTCTGCTGAGCATGGTGCTGAAACAGAGTAAATAGAACTGATTGTGAGTCAAGAAATATTAGCAGAAATAGTCCAAATTCTCTTTACAAATCTTATTGGGCTTCCCCTTACTAAAATTCCAAATGAATGACAATCTTAATGTGTACTACCATATTTGCAGATAGCATTGCACAGGAAATTTATAAGTAGACTGATAATTGTGCCTAGATTTTTTTCATTCATTTGAAATTAATTCAACATATAGAATAAACAGTTATACAATTAACAAGAGTAAACATAAGTTCAAATGGTCTCAAGCTTTATTAAAAGAACACTAATGTATTTTCTAAATCAACAACAAACAGGCTGTGTTTATTTTGAAAATTATTAGGAAGTTGTAGTTTGGAATGCACTGGAGTCCATGCACAAAGACCTCTTTAAAGAAGAAGCATCTTCCTTATAAGCTTGAGAAAGTCACAGCTCCTTTAATGGATTGTATGAAAAACTCACTGTACTGGTACTTCTGTACTTCCCAAAGCAATTTTTCAAAATCATTTTCAAAACATGAACATAGAAGGCAATATGATACCCTCTGTATATTTTGGACTATAACTCTGACAAGACATGGTTAGCACTGTCAATAGACAGCTATTTTGAAGGTGGTATTACAAAACTCTAACCACACAAATCTTTGCTAACATTTTGAGAATATTCTGTTATAGAAGGGTTTACTTTTAAGATATTGCAGATAGGCCAGGGGTCTGCAATCTTAAACACTCAGAGCCATTTGGACCCATCTCCCACCGGGAGCCACAAAATCTGGGTGGGCGTGGCCAACTCGACGTCACTCACTTCCACCAGTCACATGACCCCCCCCAGCCACGCCTACCCAGCTGGTCATTAGGGCAGAGAACCAGTTGTTAAAAAACACCGGGAACACCCTTTTGACATCTCTCTCCCACCCCCCTCTCCCTCCCTCCCCCCCCCTCTGTCTCTCCCCCCCCCTCTCTGTATCTCTGTCTCTGCCCCAGCCACTTCTCCATCCCCCGCCGTCGCCTTTACCTTCTCAGGCCAGGCAAGGAGTGACTGGGAGGGGAGGGCGAGGGGCAGGGCCAGCCAGTAGTGGGATCACCCGATGAGGAGCCACAGAGGGGCCAAAGAGCCGCATGCGGCTCCGGAGCCGCAGGTTGCTGACACCTGAGATAGGCCATGCTGCCTATTCCAGTATCCCCTACAGGGTGTGTTATTTTTATTTTTTTTATTTAAACATCATTAGGTTTTCTTTCTTAATTTTCTGGATACAGAATTAATTAGCCTAAGTGAAATCAGAAGCAGTTCATGATTCTACAATATTGTTGAAGCCAAACATGTCTAGCAAATATTTGAATGGAAAAACGTTAAAGAATCTTAGTTAAGCTGCCTTAAACTCAAAGCAAAGATATATAAATGAAATAAATTTCTTATTTCAAAGGGAAATAACAGGGAAAAATAAAGAATATTTGTTTCAAATGTAAGTATAAATTATAGCAGCTACAGATGTGAAGACCTGTAAAAAAAAAAATACAGGAAAAAAGATGAAAAACTGAAATGAAAATTTTGCAGTGGAGGAAAATCTTATTATTCAATATTTTCTATTTTACAATGACTAAATGCTTAAAAATTGTTCAAAATCCACAGAATGAACATTTGTATATACAAAGCAATTTGCAGCGTTTGTGAATAATTTCACCTAAATATGGATATCAATTTTCCACGGCATATGAAGTTTAATTTGATGCACGATCAAATTTTTCTTTAATACTGACACTATATAAAACGATTCCTGTCTAGAATATTTATATTTATTATGAATTTGGGGTTTTATTAAGGAACCTTCTATTCTAGCCAAGCTTAAAAACTGAATTAAATGATCTACAGAAAAAAAGTGGTTTTTTTTTTCAAAAATAAAAATCTATAAATCTTTTTCTCCTAGATTTAGCCACATTATATGCCATTAAAACAAAATGATCACATAAATTGCATTATAATCCTTAAAAAAATCCAGCCAACTGATTGGATATCACCCCTATAGTACAGTTTGAAGGTCTGGCATTGAAAAATTCTGAACAACTTAAGGCAAACAGTTCAAACTTGGATTGTTTTTCTGAGTTAATATTCCTTGACTCACAATCAGTTCATTAAGTATTTTTTTGGTTTCACATAAGTTCTTTTATTAACCCAACAATTACAGTTTGTAAATCATAATATATTTATGAATCTAGGGTTAAGCCAGATACCAATAATCTGTAGCTGAATTATTCAATCCTATAAATGTACATTTGAATGTAAAATCACAAAGGTTGAATCTCATTAAATGCAATTAAATCTAATAGTGCTTATTCCATATAGATGTAACCTAAATGCAGGCAAAAATAGAATTACAGTGCAATCCTATAGCTGTCTATTCAAAAGTAAATGTGAAGAGTAAAATGTAATGAATTTTTTTTAGATTATAACTCTACAATATTCTACGTATGTAATGTTGTGGTAAGTTTATTTACATATTTTAGGACAATTAATATTAACCACAAATGATATCTATAGCAGCTCTCTGTATACTTGAAAGCACCTAAAACATGCATGAAGTCTTTTGCTTTCAAAGCAAATGGCTTTACATAAAAATTAAATGTTTATAATACTTCATTTCTAACTGATGTGTGTTTTATGTTTATGGTCTAACTAATCCAATTAATATTCTGAGAAGCAATTTCCATGGCAGCTTTCAAAGTGAATTACTCTGAAGTAGGTATGTGTTAATTATCACCCTTTTAGCTTTTTTGATGCGTTTACTCAAAAGTAGATCCACCACGTTCAATACAGCATAACCAGTAATTCAATTTGATGTCTGTATTCTGACACACCCACAGTTAAGTGAACCATGGTTTACTTAAATTTTCTGAATTCAAGATAAAATGAACTATGAATTAATCACAGGAGCTGGGTTCATATAACAAACCAAGGTAAAAATCTGTGCTTCCACATATCATCTAAACAGCCCACGTATAATTTCATGATTGTAGAAATAATCTTGCAAACTGATCTTAAAAATGGTAGCACTACTAAAAGTTTTAACCATATCGGAGCTCCTCATAAAACAAATGTGGGGGTATTTTCTCCTTTCACCACTCTCCCAAAAGGTTTTCTTTTTTTCAAAGTACCAAATCCATTTGCTTCATAAAGTAGTATAATATTTGCACAACCAAAGCCAAGTAAACAATATGTTACATTCAGGAAATAGATGGGTCCTCCTTCTTAGCAACCTGTGTTTCCTATACATCTCTGTATCATTCCCACCCATCCCCCAATTAGCCAAAATAAATGAAAATAGCCTCTCTTGTTATTAACTCAGCAGTTTCGATTGGTTGAAATTAAGTCACTCCCCCCACCTTTAAGCAGGCTATTCCGCGTATATAGCACAACTCCTAAAGATACCCTTTCCTTAGTTGTTGTTGTGCATGTGCTGCTTTCCCAGGCTAACGGAAGGAGATGCAGACTTTTTTTTTGTTTTTGTTTTTATTAGGCCTCTTCCATCATCCGGAGTGTTGCCGTCTCCGTATCCCAAACCCAACCTAATGTAAGCAAAGGTTATATATATATATATATATATATATTATATTTATATTACACTAGGTAGCATCTTAAGGGCGGTTGCAAGCAGACCCCAAACCTCCCATCTGCGGTTATTCACATGCGTTCTATATTAACGTAAGCCAGCACAACTGTTATTTGTGGGGAGGGGGAGGTGTTGGGAAAAAACGTCCCCCACCCCTCTAAGACAGGGAGGGTGAAAGGTATTTAAAAGGGGCAGAAAATGGGATTGAGAAGAAATTTGGGGGAGGGGGGGAGGGGCAGAAGCTGGGCCGAGCGGGTGGTTAAAAACCCCAGAAAAACAAACCCGAGGTGGTTTGGGGTGTTATTTCCCCCCCCTCTCCTCAATTCCAGCCCTCTCCAGTGGAAGAAGTAGGAAGACGTCCCCCTCCCCCACCATTCCCCGCTCCACTTTTCTTCCTCGAATAGCCCTGGTTCTTTCCTCCCCCCTCCCCCCCCCCACCAACGGCATTCTCTTCCCACCGTAGTATTGTAGAAGAATGGCAGCAGCCGCAGCAAACGCTCCCCTCCCCCCACCTCCACCTTCTCCCCGATCTCGGGCGACGAGAGCCTCTTCCCCCCCCCCCCCCCCCCCCCCCCCGCATCCCCTCCTCAGAGAGTCCCAAAACAGACCTCGCTGTTAAAAGCTTTCACGGCCTCCATGTTGTGTGGCGGAGGGAAAAAGGCTTTTAGACACCGCGCCGAAAAGGGGTTGTTCTCCGCTGGGGTGACGGCGGTCGGCTTCTTTCATGGGCCACCGGGCCTCGTCGCCATGACGGGGGTAGCGGACGGGGTTAAGAGGGGGGGGAGGGAGCGGCGGACGGGTCGGGGAAAGGGGGGGCTCCTCCCTACTCCGCTGGGCCGCCCCAGGGCAGGCTCGGCTGGCGCTGCAGGGACAAACACGCAATAGCTGCGGCGCGGGCACCAATATGGCGGGCGGGAGGGCTCTTGGCTCGCAGCGGCGTACTTCCCTCCGAGAGCAGCCGAGACGCGCGGGCCAGAGCGGCTCCTTAGCGGGCGAACGCGAGCCGTGCAGAGGCGCGGCGGCCGCCAGCGAGGTAAGAGGGCAGAGTGTCTTTTTTAGGGTGGTTTCTCCTGGTACCCTAGAGAGGGTTCGGCCAGAGAACGAACTCCCCTCGCAGGAGAAGGGCGGTACTGCAGCGGAGTGAGGGATGGCAGCACCAAGGGACTGCCACCCCCCCAATTTCCACCCTCTCAGACCCGAGGGAGACGGGAGAAAGCGAATGGAGTCCCATGGCTTTATTTTAGCGGTTGAGCCTATTCAAAGATTAAACGGCTTGTGGATGGGCCCGAGGAATCTGATTGCAAAGTTGTATGCCTAGGAAAGAAAGCTTTTCTTGCTGAAATAGCTTAAAAGGGGCTCTTCGGAAAGTGATGCTTGCCCTTGCTTGAGTTCAGTAGGGTTTATTTTCAGAGGTTAGCATGGATTATGTATCGTCTCCTAATCAACTAATTAAAGAGAGAAGAAACCTGGAATTAAGAAGAAGCTTCCTAACAGCAAGGACCATTAACCAGTGGAACAGCTTGCCCTCAGAAATCGTGGGTGCTCCATCACTGAAGGTTTTTTAAAAGAGTCTAGACCAGGGGTGTCAAACTCAAAGGCGCGGTGCTTAGGTCTGGCCCGCGGGGCTACCCCGGAAACCGTGAAGGACCAGCCTGCGATGCCTTTGCAGGTGAAAACGGAGCTCGGGAGGGCCACGTGGAGCCCTCCTGAACTCCGTTTTTGCTGGCAGATGGTTGCAGGAGGCCATCGCAGCTGAAAACTGAGCTCGGGAGCCCGTTTTCACTGGCAGAGCACTCGGGCCACCACAGGCGCCCCCCGACACAAGTGACATTGAGCTGGCCATGCCCTCCTCCCCCCCAAGGTCAAACACAACCCTGATGTGCCTCTCAATGAAATGAAGTTTGACACTTCTGGTCTAGACAGTCACTTATCTGAAATGGTACAGGTTCTTCTGCTTGAGCAGAGGGCTGAACTAGAAGATCTCCCTTCCAGCTCTGTTCTATTCTATTTTTTAATAAAATAATTTTTATTCAGCATCTACATCTTTAACATCTTTGTTACATTTTAACAGCTTTCTGCTACTGGCATCTTTAATAATAATCTATTTTGTCTTTTGACCAACTATATATAGATACATTTTATATAATACTTACTAATTCCTATATTCACTACAATATATACATATCTGTTACATATTAAATATTTCATTCCTCTATAATATCTTCTCTTATATTTATACATTTATACATTGATTTTAGATTCTTTCTTCAGCCAGCTATACCATCTATTCCATGTTTCGTAATAAATCATTTCCTCTTGATCTTTTAAGTTCCATTGTTAATTTATCTGCTTCTGCACATTCTATCTAGCACCTTCTTAATAATCATCGTATTTGATGGAGCAAATCGTTGTTTCCAATTTTGTGCAAATGAAATTCTGGCGGCCGTAATTATATGGAGTATAAGGTAATAATTTTCTTTTGTAATCTTTTCTTTTATAATTCCCAACAAAAATAGTTCGGGTTTTATAGCAATTTTTTCCTGTCATTTCCTCTAGTCATTTTTATATTTTTAACCAGTATGCCTTTGCTTTGGGACATGTCCACCACATATGGAAGTATGTCCCATGTTGATGGTTATATTTCCAACGGTGTGGTGAATTGTTTGGTGATATCTTGGCCAATCTCGCCGGAGGTAAATGCCACCTATAAAACATTTTATAAATATTTTCTTTGTAGGCGGCCGACAATGTCATCTTATAATTTGTTCACCATAATTTTTCCCAATACTCTAATTCAATTTATACCCAAAATTTTTCACCTAAATTATCATTGTTTCCTTTACCATTTCTTCCTCCATTTTGAATTGCAGGAGACATTTAGTGATTATTTTCTCATCGATCCCAGTTAATATTTTATATATTTCTTGTTGGTCAGTATGGAATCCATATACTTCTAAATCTTTTTTATATTTTGTTTGGATTTGTAAATAGGGCCACCAATCAATTTTAATTCCTTCTTCCAATAATTTTTGTCTGAATTTCAAATTCCCTAGTCCAGGGGTGGGCAAATGTGGCCCTTTTACAACCTGTGGACTTCAACTCCCAGAATTCCTGAGACAGCCGTCTCAGGAATTCTGGGAGTTGAAGTCCACAGGTTGTAAAAGGGCCACATTTCCCCACCCCTGCCCTAGTCCATCTAACAATTCCTTATATGTCACTATTTTATTAAAGTCAATTAAATTGGGGTAGGCTTCCATTGTGGACACCCATCTTGGGATTTTGAGATAGAAGTTCCTTTTAATTCCTTTTAAGTTTCTAGCTGTACTTCCCGCACTTGATGCCTCTGAAAGTACTTATGTGCTTTGTCTTTTCCATCCTAGATGAAGGCGTGCCAACCTTTCTGTAGGTCATGACCCTCAATTGTTAAAATTCTTCCATTTTTTTAGGTTTATCCATTCTCTGAGCCATGACACTACTGCCGCCTGGTGGTAAAGTTCCCAATCTGGAAGGCCAAAGCCACCCTTACTTCTGGCGTCTTGTAACAATTTAAATTTGATTCTGGGCTTTTTCCCTAGCCATATAAATTTACTGATAACTTTATTCAATTTGTCAAAAAAGATTTCCCCCAATTTTATAGGCACTGTTTGAAATAAATATAAAATTTTGGGTAAAATATTCATCTTTATCGTGGCAATTCTCCCTGTCAAAGGAATTTGTAGTTTTGCCCAATTTTCTAAATCTTTTTGAATTTGTTGCAATAATTTTGAGTAATTGTCTTTCTTTATTGCCGTTAGCCAAATGCCCAGATACTTTGCCTTTTTGACAATTTGCATTCCTAGTTTCTCCTCTAATTTCTTATTTTGGCTTTGCGTGAGGTTCTTAGTAATTATCTTTGTTTTGTTTTTATTTATTTTCAGGCCTGCTACTGTTTCAAATTTCTTTATTTCTTGTAGGAGCTTTTCTCCTGTTTCCAAAGGATCCTCTATTATAAATGCCATGTCGTCTGCAAAAGCCTGTGTTTTATATTCTTCTCTTTTAATTCTTAACCCTTTTATTTCCCTATTTCCCCTTACCTGCGCCAATAGTATTTCTAATGAAAGGATGAATAAACTCTATTCTAATTCTCCTACTCCTTTGGTAAAATATTTTAGTTGTTTTTGCTTAATCTGTCAAAAATCCAAAGTCTCTAAATGAGTTCTAATCCTCTGCCACATTGCCCTTCTGTGAACTTGAGATTCCATATCTAGTGTAGCCTTAATTTGGGGAAGAGTTGTTAATACAATCCTAAAATTTAATAAAACCAAACAAAACATAGCAATCAGTTAATTTACTTTTTATAAATAAAAAAAATCTGAAGCTGACCCAACAGCCCCGGACCTTCTGGGTATTCAGGTGCTCATTGGGATGGATTCTACTCAGCTTGCCATCTGCTGAACTCTAGCTAAGTCAGTTCTATGTGTGTACCCAGTAAATTGTTCATTAGAAACTAGGCATCGCTTTAAGCCACTATAGTGGATTGATAATGGTACTTAAGGGTGGCCAAAAGCATGGGATGCGACTAAAGCATAGAATTGAGGAACTTGTGGCTTTCCTGCTGCAGTTGAAATGTAATTTTAAACCTTCTCATAGACCTGTCCATAGACATTAAGACTAAAAAACATTCAGCAAATCAACATCAGGATGATCATCTTGTCCCACTTGAAAATGCATCAGATGCGCTTCAAGCTACCCTATTGCTATTAAGAAAAAGTCATTTGATACTACTAGTAACATAAGATCTAGTTAGCTATCAGCCCAACTGGTTTCTGTAAATAAGCAGAGTAAAGAGTCCTATCTTACATCTGCCTGGACCAGCAAATTATCTTTGGCCAGCCATAGAGGTTGTCCTTAACTTACAGTAATTCCCTTAGTGACAATTTGAAGTTACAACGGCACTGAAAAAAGTGACTTATGACCATTTT